CTTGTTTATCTTTTGGAGCCTAGAGGCAGGTACAACAAGTTTATTTCTATTTCTAGTATTTAAAGCATGTACGTCACTTCTTTTATAAATTACAGAGCATATATTACAGTTACACATCTATATATATATATTGACTTGCCACTGTCATTATGTTTACTTGTTTTTTTTTTGCCTCAATGAACAACAATTGCCTAAATTATAAATTGCTCGAATCATTATATTATAATTTTATATTTGTATTAGTGGTAGCAAAAGTTACAATAGTTGTTGATTTGACACGAAATACGATGATTATAACTCACCTTTAATAATAAACTGAATTAATTCAAAATTTACGTTTTTCGAGTTTTCAACAAATACCAAATCAACTTCATCAGTAGAACACGAACAATCCAATAGCCGACTCGGTACCATGAAAATGGCAAAGATAAGAGATCGTCGTTCTCTTTTTGACGAACTCGCACGTACATGAATGTCAAACTTTAAATGCGATTTCCCACAATATTGAAATTCTAAGTTAATTCAGTTTATGAATAAAGGTGCGATAAGTTGTTTATCATTATAAAACAGTCCGGTAATAAGTTAAAAAAATTCAGAGTAACTAGCTCTTAGGCTACAATTTCTTAAAGAATATTTTAGCTTTTGCAGACAACAATGACTAACACTATATACACAACACTTGACTGAATACCGATGTAAATTTATAAAGATTTGATTTATGGTTATTCTGTTATATAATAAAATTAAATAATTGCACAATTACTCACGGACACCGTTATCTAATACGAGTATTCGCTTGGAACGGTAAGGACTTTAAGGTAACCGAGTATAAAGTATTGCCAATGAAAGTCGAGTTAATAATGTTATTTTAATTATAGTTAGAAGACTTAGAATAAGCTACTGTCAATATAGAATTTCCTTATTTAGGTGAATATGTAAATAAAATGGCATAAGTATTTATCATCATGGATCCTTAAGTGCATGCTTATGATAAAATGAATCCGAATTTTAAATCCTATATTGCAAAAAAATGCTTTGCCTTGAATCCAATTTTTCTAAGAGCATTTCTATACACTCAACATTAAACCCATTTCTAATCAAATTTGTCTGCAAGCAGTGGTGTTATGGAACTCCCTGACTTCCATATGTCGAACTTACCGATATCTAAGCATATTTTTCCTTTTTTTAGACTCAGGTATCTGTATATTGATCTTACATTTAAATGTATTATTTTTGTCTTCGCAGGACACTTGGCAGCAATTTTTCTAAGATGTAAGCTTTTTTATATTAGGTTTCGTTAGTATATATACCACCTATCATACAGTTAAATGAATAATTTTGTTTACGTTAGTCTAACTACGATTCCCGTCCACGAAAGATAACAGTGTGATAAGTACGATCATTTGTTCTGTATCTCGGTGTAATTTATCCACAATATATGTATATGTATGTATGTAAAAATATAAAAGTACGTTCATAAGCAGTCTGGTTACCATATTTTCACGTGCGGAAACCCCCTCCGGCCCGTGTCACCCTACCGGGGTTTACGACGGGATAGTGTGTAGGAATCGAACCGACTAAAACCACATGCGTTCCATTCTGCCTCTGAAATAGGAGGGATCCGTGAACAGCTGTTATTATGACATCCGGATTCCTCCTAGCAGCAGTCTAATCAACTCTGGTTACTATAGTACAGGCTAGGCCTGGTTTCGAAGACGGCTGTGTGTGAGAGGTGTAGTGATTATTATTAGGTAAATTTTAATTTTAATTACCATAAGTTCGTAAATTTTTGATAATCTACATTTCTAGTATGATTTTTAAGATTTTCATTGCCAATTCATTTATGCAATCGTTCTTAGTGTCCTATAGATATTATGGTAGTGATTATTAATACCTATCACTTTTCAGTGTGTTTATGAAATAAACCAAGGGTTTCAATGACAATAATTATACATATAGCATAAGCAAATTTAAATAATCAAATAAGTTAAAGTTGCCTGCCTTCTGCGAACTCTACCAGTAGGAGATGATACAAAGGTTTTTTTTGACGCTTGCATTTAAGTAGATGGAACATTTATCTTATTTAAAATTTAAGGTTTTTCAGATGTTAGTATTTTGGACGTGGTAATAGTTATGTTTTTTCTACCTAATCTCTAAGTATAAAAAACATTTATAATCCAAGCTCAATTTCTAATAGGATTGCAAGGCTATTGTCGTCAACCGGGCTGATATGTGCCCAAATAAACATGAGTAAAATCTAGTTCCAAACTACACAGAGCTCGTACTACGAAAGCTAGATTGACTTATGTACTATTTTTTGTAAATATATACATAATATCAAAATCGATCTAAGTGGCGTGCAATGGGAGAGGTCTATGTCTATGATAATGGTACATAATATACATAATCAACTCCTAAACAAATATTTGCATATCATACAAACGTTTGATCTGATACGGGAATTGAATCCGAGACCTCATCACAGCAGTCGCATACACTACCACTGCACCAACGAGGCAGTCAAAACAAACAAACATACACACATAATAGAAAAATTATACCCAACAAGAAAAACGATAGTGTTTATCACACAAGATTTATCCTGAGTAGGAATTGAACCTCTAGTTTAGCAGTCAGAGGCAGAACCGCTAACCACTAGACCAACAGGTATCATTAAAAAAAAAAGAATCGTGACAATGCATCAAGCATCCTGAGCCGTTAGTTATTTCGGGTCACTGGGAGGTCAGATGCCATAACAGTAATTTTGGTGACGTTGATAATGTGCCAAAAACAAATCTAAAATTTGAACGCTATACATAGACAACTAGACGATTAAAAAAATATCATTAACTCAGATACATCTTGACTTATAAAATTATAAAACGAATGTGTAACTGTAATTAAAGATAAACCCAGGAACTATTTTTTTGAAAAGGAGAGAAAATTAAACTATTTACCTTTTAAAATCTTTTATATATATATATATAGTAATACTTTATTCTGATTTATTTAAGGAGCATTCCTGAACAATTCTGAAATCTGTAATCTTAAAATAGTTGTAAATTTATATAATAGTTGTTAAAATTAATTTAAACCTAATAATATATTCTGAATATATTCTGAGACAGATGAAGTAAAAGATAAATCTAACAATGTTTACGTTAGACTTACTTCCTTCTGTATAAAAAAAAAACAATTGTGTGGTTTCTCTTTATATGCATATATTATTATAATTTTCAAGAAGTGAAAGATTAAAGACAATAACACTATGTAATCCTTTTAAATGCATGATGTTTAGCGTCGATGAGTAGTTTCTGGTTCTTTGAAAGCTTTAGCGCTTTCAGTTAGGGCTGGTCGTCTGCTCGCTAGTGTTCTGCCACAAGGCCCCGCGACCGCACGTCTGCACGAGCCTCCGATACTCGCACGCGTAGAAAGTCGCGCGATCGTTCTGCGGAAATATATTAAATGTTTATGTGTAGTGTGAATTAAATACTATTTACAGAAATAAAAAAAATAAGTACGTATCTTTTACTTTACGTTTTTTTATTTTTTTCTTCGTTCTTTATGTTTTAAATTTATTCAAAACCATTATATATATTTTTTTAATAATATGTTTTTCAAACAAAGATCGTTGTTGCTTATTTGAATATAAAAATTTCTATTATATACTAAATTAAAAATATTGCATTTAATTATATTATCTCATTCCAGATACAGAAACAATTTTACTAATTTCATAATTGACAATTAATTTTTTGTTCTAGCATTAGTTATTTTAAAAACATTACAGGTCACACAGACTCACGTGATTATAATTTTTATTAGCGCGTTTTCATTATCATACAGCAGGCAATAAAAACAATTTATTTAATGGACAGATTATAATCACAGGTTTTGTGATAAATTGTACCTGTGTTATAAATTTTTCACCTTATGTTATAATTTTAAAAAGAATTTGAAATAATTAAATTAACTTAGGCAAGTATATAAAATAGCCTTTTCCCCCGGTATAACTCACGATTATGAGCACTTCTGAGTTTCTAAGAAAGGTAGCGAGATGTTGAATAAGTAGTCTAAAACTTTCTTTTAATTATCAGGTATGAAATGCATAAAAAGAATTTTTCAAATTCAACTGTTAATTCTAGAAATTATAAAATTTAATCACAGAACAAAACCTTCAACCTACTCTTATGTCCATCTATGTTAATAGAGCAAAAGATATTGCAGCCAACATTTAGTAATAAAAGTAAAAACAACCCAACCAAACAATAATACTTTATTATGGGATTTGAAAGAAAAACGTTTTATAGCGAGTGTTATTAAAGTCGTACTCGAGATTAATGCTAATGTAGCGAGAGCAGAGACCGGCCCGCGCGCGGCGCCTGTGCATCCGACGCTTCACTTTCACCCGCGAATCGTAATCGCTGTCAAAATGATATTAATCACCATCAATTAACTCCGCATATTTTGTCATTTCAATTATACGTTAATTTGTTAAAACTGCCGCACTCCGGTTTTATTGATTATATGTTAGTAGATTGTAAGTGAAACCGTGTTATAAAAAAGTAATAAATACGAGTGGGTATACTATACTTACCTCTTAGGGGTATTGCTTTAAGTCATTGAAGACAATTAGGCGGTAACGTTATAATCTATTATTAATAATGTAAAAATTAACTGTCATTTATTCACGAATAAATTATAGCAAGTATTATTCATTGAAATCTGTTTTTTAAGTCCTAGATATCCTAAATAATATGTATTTTCCTTTGCAGATTTTCATGGTTCATAAAAATCGTTGAAGAACGCTCTCAGAATCACTGGACCGTGTAAAGTTATTTGACACATCTAAGAGTTTAAGTGGTACAGTGCAAACAGTGTTTCTTTTAAAAGTAGAAAATAAAACATTTGTGGACATCGAGGAACAAAAACATTTGAAAAATAAGTGAAAGTTTGTGTGGGAGAGGCCGAGATTAAGTTGAAAGACAAGTTCAGGAACAATGGACCACCTGTTCCGGCAGCGGCGGATTAGCGTGCCCAAGAGGTAAGAACTAGAACACTCATAACAGACTTTTGTGTTTTTATTCTGATAGCAAAGTGTTAATGTTATATTTCAAAATAGTCATAAAGCAATTGTAAGTAGAAAATATTTCAAAAGGGCGACAAGTTGGCCTCTTTTTTTAGATATTTTAGAATTTTTTCACAGTGTACAGTAAATGTATATCCGTTGCCTAAAGTCTAAACAGTTTTGTAAAGTCTGCCAATATATTTTTGGTGGTTGATATTCGCTGTGGTTGATATAATATTAATCGAATACAACAGTTCTCTAAGATTTTGTATCAAATATGACGCATATTATCTTACGAGTAAATAGTGAAATATCTCTTCGACATTCATGGGTCGACAGCTTTAAATGCGACAACACTTTGGGCATTTTCTGTAATCTTATTATTAATTAATAAATATATTATTATTTAATGAATATTTGCCATAATTCCATACTTATATTATAAATGTGACTGTGAGTTTGTTTATTTATTATTTGTTTGTTTGTTACGCCACTAAACCGATTTTACAAATTCTTTTACCAATGGAGAGCTGCATTATTGGCAAGTAATATAGACTACTTTTTACCGCGATAAAACCTAGTAATATTATAAATATTAAAGTCAACAACACAGTACTTAAATATGTACAAGAGTACATTTATTTGGGTAGATTAATATCATTCGCAAGCACTAGACACCAGGACGAACTACACAGACGAATAAACATTGCATGGAATAAATTTTGGAGCTACAAAGAAATACTAAAATCAAATCTCCCCATAAAATTAAAGAAATTGGTTCTAGACTCATGTATATTGCCATGGCTCACCTACGCCTGCCAAACCTGGATTTACAATATGCAAACGGAAAATAAACTTCAAGTATGTCAAAGGTCAATGGAAAGCAGCATTTTAGGCATAAAAAGAAAAGACAAGAAAAAATGTATGTATTTAAGAACGACAAATGTCATAGATGCCTTAAAACATTGTAAAGAACAGAAGTGGAAATGGGCTAGCCATATAGCACGTATGAACAAACAAAAATGGACCAAAAAAGTTACTGTTTGGACTGGACCATTCGGTAAGAGAAGCAAAGGAAGACAACAAGAAAGATGGATAGATGAGATAAAGAAGGTGGCGGGCATAGACTCGTTTACTAAAGCAAAAGATAGAGAGTATTGGAGAAAATTGGAGGAAGCCTTTACTCGATGAGAGGTCCTTAATTAATAAACATTTAAAAATATTTTTCAATATATTGTTAATAATTTAAGAATCATCTAAACAATAATGTAAAACAAATTTATATAATATTTTTAGTTGAAATCACTTAAAGTTAAAAAGTATAATATCATTGTATACTTAAAAATTGAATGATGTTGTTTTAAGGAAGTTTGTTAGTATTAAGGAAATAAAGAGGCTTTACATTACATTATAAAGGCGAAAGCTTGTATGGACAATAGATGGTTGTTACTCTTTCACGCAAAAAAGGCTGAACGGATTTGGATGAAAATTGGCATAGAGATAGTTTATAGTCTGGAACATCACATAGGCTACTTTTTATTCCGAAAAAGGTACTGTTGCCGTGGGATCAGTAAGGTTTAACAACAAACGCGGGTAACAACGCGGTGGCAGGAAGTATGATGTCAGTTTGCCACCACCTCCAGTTATTTAGGATTACACTATGCTTTCCAATTTTTTTTCTTTTGTTGGTTTAACTTTTAACTCTTTGGGGGATCAGTTCATACAGATCACTTCACTTCAGATTTCGAATAACAAAACTGCAAGAAGCTTGTTATTATGCATTTTTCAGTTATTAACAGCTCTTTATACCCATAAAAAATATAGAAATACAATTCAACACGTTTGGGTATTAATAATTATATTCTCTTTTTTATGCGTTTTATCAATGCGTTCTGCTAGTTGGGACTTTTATGTAATTTAATAATATGATATTTTTAATGAAAATAAAAGCAACAGTACTCTTATATAATTAAACATATTAAAAAAACGATTATAACTTCCTCTTTCTCACACTATTGTTGTCTCTGTTGTTATCTTTACGCCGTGAAAGTTTTAAGACAAAACATCACTTTAACAATATCTGGAACAAATTTTTATTCAGATGCGCATGATCACTTCACTAATCGCAATTAATGTGGATAAAATTAACGATGGCGGTAAAACTCCGATTTATTCGAAAATCGGATCGATTAACGTGGTAGATGTAAACAACGATTTCCAGTATCGGGTTAATGACACTGTACCACGGATAGATAGGCGGCCGTGAGGCCGTTTTTGTCATCTGTTTCTAGAACATTGTTGTCGAAGAATGGTGCCTTGACTTCCATGCTAGCGTGCTCTGCTATCTCAGACTCTTTCATTTGCCAAATATAATTTACATGATTATTTTACCCTTAAAAATATTAATAAACTGTTTACGTGCCCTTTTCTTCCTCTTCTGTATTTGACACAAGTTTTTATTTAATAAATAGATCTTAACTGAACTTATGTAGGTATATGTAAAAACTTTTAACAAACTACTAACTACTTTTTTTTATGACAAAATACGATAACTGCATGTAAAGTCAGAGAAATTGATAAAATAATGTTTGCATAAATCATGAAGGAAAAACTTAAATGATTGGCTTTTGCATTTGATTTCACATATAAGAGCGATTTCGCAGTACGTCCGATCAGAATCCGATCCGAGTCCGTAAAAATACTGTCCGAAGTAGAACTATTTCTATGGTAGCTTACTCACTAGATCTGGCTTCCGTCATCCGTTTTCTTTCTGTTATCCGTGTTATCCGTGAATCTCCATCCGGTGAAGATTGTTGACGAACCAAAGTACCCATACTATTATTTGTATGAACGCACTCAGAATTCTTTATTACTTCTGTGTAGTTCGTACGTACAATAGCATTGCCAGAAGTTGACGCCGAGCGAAAGGACTCATTATCAACGACGTGAATGCTCCGTATCATAAGATCGCAATAGTGCGTAAATAATATAGGAATTATATTATATTATATAATAGCCAGTCAGTCAACCTTCCAAATCCGTAATCACGGATCAGAAATCAGAGGTAGTGCGAAAAGCAGTATTTGAATTCAGCCCGTGATTTCTAGATCCGTATTTTCGTACGGATTCGGATCGGATGTAGTGCGAAACTGCTCTAACGCTATTCCAAATACTGAAAAAGTTGCTGTTTATTGTTTTAATTTAACTGACAAACGCTTCACCGTCTACTAGTGTTCAAGATTAATTTTAATAAAATTTAAGTATTTGAGATTGTTCTAAATAATAGTATTTCCCTCATATAATTTTGACGTGATTTGGGTCTAGTAACTGATGCTAAATTTTTAATCATAGTATTTTAAACTGTAACATAAGTATTACAAAAACACTTAGGTATATTTAAAAATAAAAGTAATACTTTTGGATTTTATAATAATCTTAACCAAGACTGTAAGGCCATAGCCTCAAACGGATTTATGAAGCGTACGTGTAAATCCTGCATTAAAAATGTATTTACTCGTAAAATACTTTCTAAACACAATATTGCGAAAGTTGCAAAGAAATGCAGGCGGTCCATTAAGATGCAATTTTAGTATCTTATTGTAATTTATTTAGTTTTTTTGTACATTCTGTATTCTCATCATACATAGTTCAACGTACGTTCACAGTTTTATGTTGCGATTTACCTATATACAAAAATATTTAAGGTAACCTTTAACTCATTATCATCATCTTCCTATGTTTTATCCACTTTAGTTGGAGTTTATGTGAGTTTTGACTTTAAGCAGTTTAATTTAAGCAAATCAGAACACTTTCTCACAAATTGAGTCACTAGCTGAGTATTTTTTAAATTTTAGCTGAAGTAATCATTTAAAAACAACGAAGCTAAAAAATTATTTAAAATAACTTACATTATTAAACTTGTGCATCAAGTTGTACACCGGCGGACTTAATGCCCAGGTCATTCTCTTCCAGTCGACCTTCGGGTGATGTAGAAATATGTTGCGGATGCAGAGATAAAATAGAAAATTATAAATATAGATAAAATATAAATATGTAAGTAGACTTTCTTAGGTGCAAGGTATATATTTTTCTCTTCTTATATTATATAATATGCCAAATTTGATAAGGTGAAATTTTTTTAAGCGTAGGTATAGCTTTACTTACTTTTGATAAAAAGATGGAGGGAGTAGTCAGGAACTACCCCTACCATCTAACAAAAAAAATATATTCAGACAATGGTGCGACCTTATAATATTTATTCCATTAAATATCTTGATGACTTCTGCAGGTGCCATATGATTTAATAGGCACAGTAGGTAGGCCGTGTGCGCTCTGTCGTAACTAAGTGTTCCGATACTTGGCCCTTTGAAGACTTACTTTATGACAAACATTCAGCCACCATTATTATGGTGGACGTAAACCATCACGTATGTTAATCGCTATTGAATTATTTATTATCTTATCTTGCAACAGAGGGATTAATAGACTAGGGACAGTCTTAACTTTTTTTTTTATGTTAAGCAAAAGTGAATAATCTGAATCCTAACATCCTATACAATAATATTACGAGTACATAATAATTAGTTTGTTACTCTGTCAAGATTTACCTTCTGTTCTAAATTTTTCGTACACGTTGTCAGGGGTAAAGAAAAGAATATGGGTTTGTATTGTTTGGAATTTGTATCCCAAAAATAGTATTCCCAAAGGCTTTAAAACCATTTTATTATAAAATCCTTTCAAGCGTTTGAGCTGAATGTGCTTTATACAAACAATAAAAGATGTACAACAAACGATGACAGAATGACGACCTCTGTGAAATGGCGGCAGTTTATTCGACTGCCAAGGGGGTTGCGGATTCGATTCCCGCTCAGTGCATTTTCTTTGCATGGATAAAAGTAGCAGAGGATCTCTCTATGCATAAATAAAAAACCTCCTGCTTTGTTTATTCATGTTTCAGAAACCATATGGGTGTGTGT